CGGCGGCGCCTGCTTCTACGACTCAGTAGGAAGCATCTCTCCTCCTTTGCTTTGCTTCCTTTGTTGCTTTGAACTTTCATTGGCGTTTGACTTCCCTTCCCCGCTGGCTGTGTACAGACTCTCGTGATGGATGGATGGATGGATGGATGGACGGACTGACTGCGGGCTGCCAGAGCAGAGTAACTGGGGAGGCAGTGAGCGGAGCTGCCCAAGGGCACGGCAGGGACTGTCACAGAGCAAGTGGTGGCCCAGGGCTTACTGAGAGTCAGGCTCCGAAAGAAGCCGTCAGGAAACATCGAATATACCCCAAGCAGGGATGCAGCCTTTCCTAAGGCTTCTTTTCCATCTACCTGCCTGTTCCTCCCAAGGGCTGCAGTGTGTGACAGCCCCTCTTCCTGCACATCCCACCCTCCCTGCCCCGGCACAGCCCTGGTACCTGTCCACGTCGACTTGGCTGATCTGCTCACTTCCCTGGGAGGAGCTGCCATGCTCTGGCCTTTGTCGTTCAGTTTCTGCATCATGACAGTCTCCACCTTCTCCCCGAACACGCTGGACCTGCCGAGGCCAAGGGGCGATACCAGTGAGCTGTGCCAGCGCTGGCTCTGCGGCACACAGGCTGGCACTAACAGGGATGAACTCCAGTGTTAACTCAGTGCAGCGGCCCCGGACCCGTTCGAAGCGCTTCCTTCCCAAACAACAAGCCCAGGTTGCCGAAGCTTCCAGATGCTCTGCATCCCGTGGAGGGCTGGAAGCCTTTCCCCTCCCTCTTTGCCCTGCCTGCCCAGCTGGGTGGTGGTCAGGGTCCCAGAGCAGGGTGCTCTGGGCTCAGTAACACAACAGAGATTCAATCCTCCTTCTCCCTGGCGTCAGTGCCACGAAGCGTGCCCACGTCCTGGCACTGTCAGCAATCCACAGAGCTCTGGAAGCACACCTTCAGCTGGGGCTTTAAGGGGACATTCCAGGTGGCTCCTGGAAGGGCAGCAGTGCCCCTCTGGAGCTCTGGCTGTGGGGGCTGCAGGAATGGTGGCCAGCAACAACACAGGGACTTGTGACAAGGCTGTCACAGGTGTTTGCAATGGCACAAAGCCCAGCTCATCGCCGCAGCTGGGAGGGCAAGGGCCAGGAGGCACAGCCTCGGCTGCCCTGCCTGCGGGACCCCCTTCCCCAAATACTCACAGGCCTGAGATGAGATCTGTTTCAGCCCTCATGTATGGCCCCAGGTCCTGGGAGTGGGAGATGCCGCTGGCTCCATCTGCCAGGATCTGCCGGATCAGATCCTCATCTGGGGGAAGGAGGAGTGCAAACAGGGTTGGCAGGAGCACAGCACACAGCACCGCACCGGTGCTCAGCCCCATTTGCAGAGCTGGCAGGAGCAGGGCCAGCGTGAGCTCCCTCTCCATGGGACAGCCTTCCCCTCCTCCCTGTCCTCCAGCTCCGTCTATCCCCAGCTTGTCTGTGGAGCCTGGCATCAATCTGCTGGTGCAAGAGGCCAAGTTCTTCCCCTTCTCCAGCCATTTACAGAGGTTCAGAGACACACTGTGGCTTTGCAAGCGATGAAGAGGCGCTGGTTGCCTGCAACACTCAGATCCCATGGGAACACACCTCTCCTTGCTCCCAGCCTGCTGGTGGTGTGGCGACCACTCGCTTCAGACTGATCTACTGCAGGATTTCAGCTCTCCCAGACTGAAATCCCCAGTAAGAAAACACAATCCCCCTCTGCCCTTCACATTGAAGGCAGTGATGATGGCAGCAGGCTCTGCTCCTCTGCCTTCTCCAGAGCTGAGCCAGGGCTCCCAGGGACCAGACTGCTCCTCCTGCACTTCCCCGGGGCACTCAAAGCCTGGCACAAGGCTGTGCCACTCACACCCACCTGAGGCAGAGAAATATCGGGGCTGGCCCTGGTGAACACCAAGCGACAAGCTGTCCTCCTCAGTTGCCAACGGGGCCTCGAGCCCAAGGTGGCGGCTGGCCCGGCCTCTCTTCAGCTTCTGGATGGTGTTGCCCATGATGGAGGGGTCGCTGAGGAGGTCTGGCCAGCTGAGCAGGGCCTCGCTGGAGGGCCACCGCACGAGGCTGCGGCAGGACAGAGGAACGGGTGCTATCAATCAGGTATGTGTACGAGAAGAGCAACCGCGCTAGAGCATGAGTTTTTCAAGAAGGGGAAGAGCTGCAGGAGCACAAACCCCATCCTGCCAAAGTAGAAAACCACAGTGAACTCCAGTTTGCTCCGTCCCCAGAAACCTACTTACCTTTTGGAGTCCTCCAGGAACAGATCTGTTTTGGTTTGCTCAGAGAAGGCCTGTGGAGGAAGCGGAGGCATTTCAGGCACAAGACACTGGTTTGTGCCTGGTTAAAACAGTGGGTTGCTAACATCAGGGGTCACTGGAAACCTGGAGCCCGAGCTGTTAGCCCTGGCTCCGCAGCTCCTGGAGCCTGCTCTCCTCCAGGGACACCCCAGGCACACTGGGAACACCCATGCACACAGACACAGAGATGGAGACAGCCGGTGCTCAGTGCCCAGCACTGGCCTGGGCAGGGGAGAGGTGAAGGGCTGTGGCTCTGCCCCATCACCAGTAATTGCCAGAGGTACCCGAGTGCATTAGTTCTTGCACTGAGAGCTGTGGATGGACACTGTACCCATGCCAAGGAGCACAGACCTGTGCACCCTGCCCAGCTTTCGGGTGTGAAGCAGGTTACCTCTGCCCGGAGCCCGGGGAAGGTGGGGAAGGAGCTGTCAAGGATTGAGGAGTCCAGGTAGTTGTCGATCTCCAAGGACTGCTGGTCCGAGTGAGTCAGGGTGTGGTTGATGGAGACCTGCAGGAGACAGGAAGGTTGAGCAGAACAGGGAGGGATGGAGGTGACAACGTCACAGTGGCTCAGAGCCCTGCTGCTCAGCGGCTCCCAACAGCTTCCCGCGCTGCTGTGGAGCTCCAGGCTTGTGCAGGCAGGGGTGGGGGATCCCACACCTGCCCAGAGGGGCTGAGAACAGCCCATGCACACCCCCACCACCTCCCAGGCACCTCGGGCACTTGCACCCATGCGTATCGCAGCCCAGTGCCATCTGGGCTGCCCCAGGTACAAGTTCCCAGGAAGCTGCATGAGTCTGTAACCCCCTACAAAACAGGGATGCTGACAGGAACAAGAAATAGCAGACACACTTGCTGCTCATCAGTCACTGAGCAGCTGGCTGCAGTACTTAACGGGGCTGCTAATTGTGTCTAACTAGTCATTAAATCCCCAGCTAATCTCTTCCCAGCTGCCTAACCACAGCTCTGCCCAGAGAGCTGAACGTGCACCCAGGGCAGGCATTTCATTAGAAACGCTCCACTGAGCATCTCCCGAGCTGCTGCCAATGCAGCAAAGGGTCATACCTTTGAACAGCACCTGGGGACCTATCACATCCCGAAATCAAGAGGCAGAAAGTGCCTAAACTGCTTTCAAAATCTGCCCTTTTGGTCTCTGTCTGGGCGTTGCCAGAATCCAGGCAGTGGTCTGTCTCTGCAAGGCCAGGGGCTGCTCCCAGCTCAAGAGGGAGGCAGAGACTTGCCAAGGGCAGGGGTCTGACCACGGTGCAGAGCAGCACAGAGGCACAACTGGAGGGAGACCAGCTGGAGAAGTGATGCACCACGAAAGGCAGAATCCAGCCCCAGAGGAGCAAACCTAGTGGCATTACACCCATTTGGGCAGCCTCCAGCTACTTCTCATTCATTACCTTGCCACGAGCCATCCGGAAGAGAAACAAAATGATCAGGTAGAGAGGGTAGACCACCACGCTGGACACCAGACCAACAGCCACTGTGTCCACATTAACAGGGATCAGGTTGGAAACGGCCCCATTGCTGGAGAGAATCAAGAAAGATCAGAGACGGGTGTGAGCAGGAGCACTGGGGGTCACCAGCTAAGCAAGGGGTGAGGCAGAACTGCAGGACCTGGCATTTCAGATGTGCAGAGAAAGAACTGGGCATGGGCTGTGCTAACAGCAAAACCAGGGGTGGGGGAAAGCTGATCAGGTTGTCCTGATACCGGGTTCTTTGGAACGGGAAGGGCAGGCTCAAGGGCACCAGCAAGGCACCTGTTCCCAGAAGACGTAAGGGCTGTCCTGCCCTACGTACTGGGAAGCACTGGGGGGGCCCTGAGGAGGTGAGGGACTGGCCAGAGCACCGCGGGACACCGCACCTGAGGTGTACGTTGCCCACCACGCCGTACCACACGGCGTTGGCACAGAGGAAGAGGAAGATGAGGAGGGAGCAGCAGGTGGCTCGCTGGACACGGGTGAAGCGGCTGCGAGGCGGACGGTCCCACATGGACAGCCAGACGTGCTTCTCGAAGAAACCTCGTTGCAACTCTGCTATGAAGATCCGGGAGAAGCTCCTCAGCTCTGTCTCACCTGAGCACAAAAAGGGAGAGACCCTCAGGGCCAGCTGCATTGCAGAGGGACCCCGGCTGGCACTGCCACGGTCCCTCCTTGCAGACTGGTACTCAAGTGCCCCCACTGCATCCATATGGTCCTTCCTGCACAGCTGGGTCCTGGCCGTGCCTTGTCCTCTGGCACCGAGGACCCAGCAGAGCACTGGGCTGCATGAGGCATCAACACAGTGAGGAAGAGCCAGTGCTCAGGCTCCACGGGCTCTCTGCAGTCTTCTGCCGTGGGCCCTTCCTCAGCACAACAAGAAGTGCCATGCTGCTCTGCCAGCCCAGCCCTGTGCCCACCCCTGAGGACTCACTGGCAGCATACACCTCCTTCTCCACCATGCCATCGTTCTCTTCGCTCTCCACCGACAGCCAGTCGTTCACCAGGAAGAAGTAGCTCTTGCTGCTCTGCAGGTCCCGGACGATGACGTGCTGCAGGTACCAAGAGGGGCTGAGTCCTAAAAGTTAAGAGACAAAGAAACGTGTTTCACGGCGACATTCCCTGCATGGACTTGCAGAGCCAAGAGGATGACACAAGAGCCCCTCGGTGGGACGGCAGCAGGTACCCTGTGACACCACCTTCGTGGGTGGGAACTGCACAGTCCCCAGGAGAAAGGCTTGGCACAGCCAGGTCACCTCCGAAGCTGCACGGACACTACAGGCACTGCCACAGCACATGGCATCATATGTGCACGGGATCACAGCTGCCCAGTCTGCAGACTTCCCTGGGATGGAGACTCCACATCCCCACCCAGCAATCCTCCCCTGCACCAGTGGGTCACCACAGTCTCCCACCAGGGCTACTCCAGGCTGCGGGCCCAGGTACCTCTCTCCTGGCCCAGGGACCAGGCAGAGCAGAGCCTGGCTCTGCCCTGGGACGTGTGACAGCTGCCTCAGCCTGGCACACCCGCCCGTGTCTCACCTTTATTGTCGTGCCAGATGCGGATGCGCCAGATGCTGCCCAGACTCCGCTCCGTCGCGATCTGAAACACGTCGAGGCTGTTGCGGTGGAAGGCGTTTTCTCCATCCAGGTGTCTGTGACCACTTTTATTGTCCACACCATACAGGGCGATCCCCACGTGGGCCGTGGTACCTGGCAGAGTTAACGGGGCTCCGTTAGGGAAGTCCACCCAAGGTGGAGCTGCTCACCAGCCCTGCCTTCCTGCCAGTGACCTGCTACCAGATGCAATGGCCCTTCAGAGGGGCCACCTGGAGACTTGGGAGGAAGAATGTGCTCACCAGCCACCCCACACCCAGGGACAGTGTTACACACAGCCTGGAGAGCAGCTGCTCAGGTTGGCCTGGTGCATGGACCTTGGCATGCTCATGGTTTTCCTCTTTGGAGGGGACCGAATCTGACATTCCTTGCCTTGCTAACGCCCTAATGGGAGGAGAGGTTTATTCTGGATGTTTTTTTCACCAAATAGTTGAAAGACTTGTTCTCTTTGACTTCTCTCTGGTACCAGTTGCCAGATGCTCCTTGGTCCACCTGCTCAACCTGGATGGTCCTTGGGCTGGCTTCAGGAGAAAGCTGCTCCCAGTGAAACCAGAGGTTACACTAAGATCAAGGGGAGCACGTTTCTGGCAGTGACATGGTGGCATTCCACCTCCGTCCTTGCTCAGAGCTTCCATATCCCAACTGCCTGGATTTCCAAGTCCAGGATGATGCTTCTGGCAGCTCTAGCTACAAACCCAGCTGTGGCTCAGAAAGCCAAGCTTTCTGCCTTCATGCTGCTGTGAAAGATTCAGACTGCAGAACAAAGTGATAGATGCTGGAGGACAGCAAAACGGTCCATCTAAAGGGCCCACAAGGCCTGGATGCTTCTACAGGAGAGGGCCAGAAGTGAGGAACAATCACTGCCTCTGGGCTGTTCCTGCAACCACAGCCCAGTCAGAGAAAGTAAAGTGGGAGTATTTCTATACTGGGTGGTTCCTTCCAGCAGCAGTTGCTTGTCCCATCCCAGCAGCACAAGGTGGGGCAGCATGCTCTTCCCACAGCTCTCGACCTGCCCCATCATTGCAAAAACCCAAAACGCCCTGTGAATGCTGTGGGAAGCCCTGTCCTGCCTGCTCAGCTCCTCCAAACACCAGCTCAGCTCTGGGCCCTGCGGGGGAGCACTCGGTGCCCGATGTGCTTGGCTGAGATCTCGGATGTCACCCCAGTAAGCCAGCACAGGAGCACTCTGTGGGCTCACCTGATCCCCTGCCCCAGCCAGTTTTCACCAGGATCTCGTATTTGTACAGCCCGTTCTTCCCGCAGAAGGGAATCACCCCGACTCGGTTCACGTCGATCATGTCCAGCTTGTGCACGATCAGGGCAGCCACCGAGTAGGTCACAAAGCAGACGGCACACGTCAGCAGAACGATGTAGTTGAGACCCGGGCCTGGAGCCTAGAAGGAAAGGAAGATGTTGAAAGGCACTCTCCTTCCCCAGGAGGATCACCCCCATGCCCCAGGAGTCACGCCACCTCCTTCCTGGCCACTATCATGGTTCACAGACATGACACTGAAGGCAGAGAGAGGGACCTCCCCCTGCATGGACGGCACGGAGGGTGCTGCAGCTGCTG